CGGAGGTTCCATGTCAAGGATTGCTCTCACCTTTTCGGGGTTCGGCTCTATCCCTCTCCGGGTGACCATGTACCCCAAAAATTTTCCGCCCTGGACAGCAAACATGCACTTTTTTGGGTTCAGGCGCGGCCGGACTGCCCTCATGATCCCGAAAATTTCGGTTAAGTCGTTGGCATGGTCTGTCGCTCGTACGCTCTTGACGATCATATCGTCTACATACGCTTCCATGTTCCTTCCTAGCACTGTTCGAAACACTTTTGCAACCATTCTCGTGTACGTCGCCCCGGAGTTCTTCAAGCCGAAAGCCATGACTAGATAGCAAAAGATCCCCTCCGGTGTGATGAAGGAGGTTTTCTCCGCATCATCTTCATGCATGGATATCTGATGATACCCCCGGAATGCGTCCATGAAGCTGAGGAGTTCGCACCCGGCTGTCCCGTCAACTAGCTGGTCTATGTTAGGTAAAGGGAAGGGGTCCATCGGGCATGCTCTGTTAAGGTCTGTGTAATCGACGCACATTCTCCAAGTCGGGGGCTTCGGTGCCAGGACCACGTTTTCCAACCATTCTGGGTATAATACTTCCTTGATGTGTTTAATAGCCAAGAGCATAGCCACCTCCTTCTTCACGAAATCCCTTCGTTCCACCGAGAGGTGTCTTCTCTTCTGCTGGATCGGCTTCACCGTCGGGTCGACCGCTAGCCTGTGAACGGCCACACTTCGGTCCAACCCCGGCATATCCTCAGGGCCCCATGCGAAGATCACACTGAATTTGACCAACACTTGGATGATCTTCTCTCTCATCCCGGCTGGGAGCCCCAACCCGATTTTGATCTTTCGCTCCGGGTGCCCGGGATCGATATGAACTTCTTCAACCTCGGAGGTGGGTTCAGCGCGGAGCTGGCCATCCTCATACTTCATGGCTTTGCTGTTGATAGTGTGGACCCTGAGGTCCTTTTGTCCGAGTTGTTTGCACGCCTTCATGTAACAACTCCGGGCCATCCTTTGATCTCCCCGAGCTATCCCGACCCCGTTCGGGGTGGGGAACTTCATACATAAATGCTCCTGAGAGATAATGCATCTCAAGTCCTCCAACGCGGGTCTTCCCATGATGATTTTGTGCGGACAGGTTAAACGTACGACAATGAACTCCAGGTTCAACTTTGCTACACAGGGTTCTGAACCCACCATCACAGGCAACACCACACTGCCTTCCGATTCGATTGAGTCCCCGATAAATCCGGATAAAGGTGTTCTTACCGGACTCAGATCCGCCCCGCTCAGACCAAGGCCTTGGAATGTGTCGTAATACATTACATTCACCGAGCTTCCATTGTCTACTAGAACTCGATGAATGATGATTGTATTGTTGATCTCCACCTTAATCATTAAGGCGTCCCTATGCGGTGGTGGCATGGGTGGTAGGTCATCATCAGTGAAGTAGATCGGATCTCTTCTCATCTTCTTTCCTGCAGGTACCCGGGTAATTTCCCCGACGTACAAGGATCGAGCCCATCGTTTCCTTTCGCCTGACGTGTCCCCTCCTTGGGGGCCGCCCACGATGTAGGAGCATCTGTGATGCTTCCGGGCTCCCTCCCCTAGGTCGCACTCGTCATCCTCGGACAGAGCCCCGAGCTCGCGCTTCTTTGGAGGTTGGTCAAGGGGCTGTTTCTCCTTGGACGTGGTGGCTTGATCGGAACGCCTCCATGTCAGGTTCCTCCCTTTCTGGGCATTTCCCGGTTTTCCTACAAATTGGCCCAAATATCCTTGTTTGATAAGTGCCTCAATTTGTCTGCGCAGAACGATGCATTCGTCCGTATCATGCCCGAAATTTCGGTGAAACCTGCAGTACTGGTCGGTGTTGCGTTTGGCAGTGACCACGTCACATTCCTCTGGGAAGGAAACCAAACCCTGCTCCTCGGCATAGTCGAGGACCGTCCCGACCGGTTGAGCCAAAGGTGTCAGAAGTTTGGTAGGTAGGAGCGGACCGTTCGGGACGTCCGTCCTTCCCTTGTTCTTATTCTTCTTACCTTTGAACCGGCCGCCCTTTCCGCCAGATTTCCTATCGGCATCTTCATCATCTGGGTCACCACGTCTTCCCTTGTCCTTCGTATCTTCTTTCTTTCCATCCTCTTCATCTCTTTTCCTCTGTTCAGCGTCCTCTGCCTCAGCCTGACGGTCAGCCCGCCTCAGGGCTTCCTCGTATAAAGCGGGTGGATTCCTAACAAAATCCTTGTAAAGTTCTCCTGATCGGATAGAATTTGTCAGCATTGCCACTCCGGTCCTGTCGTCAAGGCCCTGAACCTTGACCGACTCGACCCTCCATCTTGCCAGGAAAGTGGACAGGGCCTCTTTCTTTCCTTGCTTCAGGCTAAACAGGTGGCTGAAATTCTTCTTCACATCTCGTGAGCCGGCGAACCTCAAGAGGAAGTGCCTAGCCAACTCCCTGAAGTTCCCGATGCTCCCATCGGGCAGTGTGTCATACCATTCACGAGCCGGGCCATCTAGAGTAGCCGCGAATCCTCTGCATCGTATGGCATCTTCGTACCCCATCATGACCATATATGACAGGTAACGTGATATGTGGTGTTGCGGGTCTGAAGTGCCCTTGTAAGTATCCACATTGCAAGGTTTGTAGCCCCTTGGCAACGGAGCCTCCATTATGGCACGAGTGAAGGGCTCCGGGATATGGAGGTCGGCCACGTATGACTCACCCCCAACAACCCTCCTCCTTAGCTCGTCCAACCTTAGTCTGAGATCCTCCACAGCTTCCGGCGCCGGTTCCTCTGGCACGCGTCCAGCACGGGGCTGGACCCGCACATAGGATTCTGCGACTCTTTCACGCGCGTGAGGCCGACGGCCACCACGGGGGCCTTCTATGGAACCGGTTCGACCGCTCAGACGACGGGGGTAATGAGAGAAGTCATCCCTGCCCTCCAGTGACGAGTCTCGGTGGGGCCCTCCTCTTTCGGGTCGTCGAGGCTGCTCGACCCGTCGGGACATATGCTCCCTCCGGGGCAAGGATTCCCTTCGTGATTCGTCCAAACTAGTATGTCGCCCTTCATATCTCCCAGAGGAAGTCTCGATGTCTTCAGGGGCGGCGTGCCTCGGAGTTTCATGATTAGCTCTCTGCGGCATCATCCCCAGGAAATTCTGAGCCAAAGCCCCAATGGCACGCGTGGCCTTCTGTAGCGCCCGCACTCCAGCGTCAAGTCGGTTCGTGCGCGGAGCCCGACGACGGCGACCTCCAATCCGATCACGAAGGGATTGTCTGTCATGACTACGGCTTAGCGAGCCCCTCAGGTCCCCTGAGCCCGACAAATGGCTCCGGAGATCTCCTATCGGTCTCACCACCTGGCTTCTCACACGATGGCCATTGGGTTGTTCTGAATGCTCGGTGTGAACGGAAACTCTCTCTTGCCTTGATGATCCTGCCATTTTCCTCCTCAAAGATTCTACCGAAAACTGAGAGAACAACTCAGCTCTCAATGAAAGCACCAATGTTGGTAGAAAATGTGTTGAGTAGAAAATTCGGCAGCAATTCAGTACAGTAAAAGTGACTTATCCAATACAAAAAGTGGGGCGGCCTATTTATAGGCGCTTACAAGAGGTTTCTTGAATACTAATGGGCTTGGCCCAATTAAACAACTAAAACAAGAAGCCTGATCCCAGGCCAATGGGCTGGTCGGGCCCAGAGTTAAACTAATCAATCCAAGGACCATATTATCTAGTCGGACCATGTGCTGGGCCTGGTTCGCGCCCGAGCCCAGGCATATTGGATCGATAGTATTGGACCTGGCCCATTATCCCAACAACTGAGAATGCCTTTCTTCAATCACTTGTTCAGGTGGCTTTCTAATCATTGAAGTAACAGAATTAGTTGGTTTACCTAGTTTTGGTAGTGAATGCTGAAACTTTAGAGTGGACTGCGCTACACGCTTCCTTTTGATGGCTGTTCCAGAACTACGAATTGGATGAATAGAAAAAGCACGGGATGATCCTTGTGTGAAAAGATCATCGTCCAATTCATCATCTTCATCATCTAATTCAACACTCATTTGCGCTTTATCGTACATTTTCTTCTTCATATGGTTGCCTATCAATGCTCTAATTTCTAGAGTTGCTTTTGTGCATTTTTCAATGTCCCCGTCACCACCAACTATGTGTTGCTTCAACCGTTTAACTCCGGAATGCACCCGTCTACCACAAAGTGAGCATTCCACCAAATCTTTGTTATTCTTGTCCGGCCACAAACCAAACTCCCATCCGGGATCATTCAATTTGAGTTTTCGGCTAGGATCTTTTGATGGATCCAAAATTTCATTGGTATTTTTTTCCAGATCAGCCGTGTTAAGCGCTGTTTAAAATACAAGCAAAAATGATTGTTTCATTTTTAAATGTAAGACAACACAATTACACAACATAAATTTCAGCATAAATTCAAGACACCAAAAATATTATGAAATATAAAATAAAATAAAATAAAAACAACAGAAATTTGTTTTCAAAAAATTGAAACAAACCGTACAAAGTAAATACAACAAAAAGGCTACACACTAAATAGAGTTCAACACAACATTAAATACAAAGCATACAACATTAAATACAAATCATAGGATAACTGTACACAATATTAATATTGGAGTAAAGAAAAAAATACAACAAAAAAGCTACACACTAAATAGAGTAACCGACTCAAGTAAAACTCAACAACATAAAAAAGCGGACAACATAAAACAGTCTGGACAACCGAAAGGAGTGAGCGACGAGCGATTACAGCTACAACCACTAGTACAAAACAGACTTATAGTGACACTTTGTTAGTGATACTTTTTAATAAAGTGTCACGAAAATACGACATATCTTTTTTACGATGTAAATGTGTCATTAGTTTCTAATACAATAATATCAATATCAGATAGTGACATTCACACCCTATTTTATTTTCTTTTAACATTATTTTGTCATATTTAAAGCCTAAATTTTATCTCTCTTAAAATTTCTTTCGAACCCTAGCACTCCTACGCGAGAGTGAGCTATTCTAGTTGCTCAAAAGGAGAGGGGGCTATGACGGCAAGCGGGCTATGACGGCAAGCGTGCTACCGATCGATTACTGCCGAATCGGTGCAGAATCATCATCCTTGCGATAGGAAGTGTACGGGAACAATCCGTCGCTGCAATTTCAGGGACTCGCGATGGGGATTTCACCGCTACAGTGACCCTCCATGGACAAAGCTTTCTTGTCGTGTCCAACCTTCAGCCATCTAGAACCAGCCAGGGGATTTCCAAGTGCGGTGCAGAGCTTCCGGCAACCAGGCGCGACGGCTGCAGAGACGCGAACGGAACAAGCCCTGGGTCCATATTAACTTCTACAGCCGCGAAGGTTAGGGTGCTATCCTCTCTGATATATACGCTCGCAAGGTACCTTCGATTGTTCAATTCCTGGGTTTAGTTTTTTTCTTCACTTCTTCAATGGGGTTATTGAACATATCAACCGACAGCTCTTATGCCGTTTGACAAAACTCACAAAAGGCTTCCCAGTATTTCTGAGCTCCTTTAGCTCATCAGTGTAATTAATTGATGGATTGAACAATGGGATTTTTTAATCATATTAAAATGATCCTCACCACTCCCATTGCAAGGTTTTATATAGTAGTATAAAAGCTTAAATCTTAATATCTTCCGGTGCACCAAAGTTAATGGCTCTGTTTGGTAAAGAATAAAGATGATTTAATCAGTTAATCTGATTTTATGTTGCTTAAACTAAGGCCTCTCACACTGTTTAGTAAGTCACTTTTGATTGAATGTAAAAGGCAGACATAGTGCTTCGTGGATATTGCGGTTGGAACTCACGATGTGCTCTTGAAGTTTTGGACAAAGTATTCCCAAACGTATTTTCAGCCAGGTTTCAAGCTGCAAGTTACTGGCTAATTTATTTTTTTGCCAGAAATGCTTATTGGTTCATAACTATCATGTACTCATGTAGGATTCATTTTTGCCTACTATGCATAAAAATCTTAAATTAGAAGTCTGACTCTGTATTTGTTACTTCTCAAGTAAAACTGAAGGGTGAGTTACTTTAACATTACTAGAAGTATTTTTATATTTCAGCTGCAATTGTTTGATTTGCTCACCTTAATTTTATGCCCTTTTAAGTTGCTTTTGATTCAAAAAGATCTTATATTTTCCCAAATGATTCATATGAAAAATATTTGTGCCATTATATATAATTTTATTGAATTCTAATGTACTCGTATCTTTTATTTTCCCTAAAGGCAGTTCAGTGAAGTGATCGGCCTACTGTAGAGCATTGATATTGTATAGTTCTACATTAATACGTGAGTATGCTTTATCCTCTATGATCTCGCTTTTCTCTTTTACTCAAATCTCCGGCTTGAGCTACGATCAATTTACTGGACTAATACGTTGAGTATGCTTTGTCTTCCATGCTTTTAGTGAAGATGACTTACTTTAATTTGCAGTTTTTTTGATGTCACTATAGGGTGATGCTGCAAGCTTTGCTTCTCTTTATTCTGCAGAATTGTCTAAAGTGTGATATGTTTGAGTTTCATACTTTTATGTTAGAACTAGGTTAAAGGCAGTAGTTTTTTATTGCTAACTATGCAGGTAAGTTTTTATTTTCAAAAGGTTCTAACATCTATCTATAGATCCTCTGTTGGGCTAATTATTAGTGCCCAACAGAAACAACTTGTTGGTTTAAATATGTTTTTGGTCCCTGTAAATATAGTACATTTGGTTTCACATCCCTGTAAAATTATTTTTGGGAAAATTCCCGAAATAGGACTAAAAAAGTTTGAAAATTCCAAAATAGGACTGCCATGTTTTTATTCCCAAAATAGGAGTAATTACTGCCAAGTTTGGAAAATACTGCCATGTATGAAGTCTGGTACTGCCAAAACATGACAGTATTTAGTCCTATTTTGGGAGTAAAAACATGATAGTCCCATTTTGGAATATACAAACGTTTTTAGTGCTATTTTGGGTAATTTATCATTATTTTTTTGTTTTTCGTCCGTGTAATTTATGTTGGTTTTCTTTTTGGTCCATTATCCTCCGTTTTAACTTCAAAATAATCTTGATTAATAGATTTCCTCTAATTCTTTATCTCGTTATTCAAAAAGTATTTAATTTTATTTTTTAGAAGGTTTTCTAAATATATTTTCAAAATGTGAATACTTAGTTTTAAATTATTTTAATTCTCATATTAGCCTAAAAAAATCATAAAAGGCCAAAGTTTATATATTACTAGTAGATTTATGTAACTGACAATGACTTTTTTTGTAAGTAGAGTAGTTTCGGAATTAGATATGGTCTAAAAACAAAATAGTGCATATTGTACGGATGAAAAACTAGAAAAATATTTTGCAGGGACCTAAAACAAAGTGATTCATATTTGCAGGGACTAAAAACGTATTTAAACCCAACTTGTTACATATTATATCTATGTCCACACAAGTGACACAACAGTCATCTAACTTTTTACAAAATATTGGTAAATGAAAATGACATTAGGAAGTTGATTATAGTCATGATATTAGTTTTCATAAAGCATTTTCTACAGTTCCCAATGGACCATATTGTTTAAATATAAAATATTACTGGGTATATAATAACAAAACAGCCTAAATAAAAACTACTGTGGATCTCCTTAGAAAACATTTTCTTCCCTTCTAAAGTAGGTCAGTGTTTTTTAGAGCAGTTTAGAAAAGGTATACAAAACTGAAAACCAAGAGTGCAACAAAAAAGAGAACAAAGGGCATACCACTGGTTTTCGCAGTCAATTACATTTCAAGTATAGGTTGCTAACAAAAACAATAGATTACTGGTTTTGGTATCAGCTAGAGAACTATAAAGGAAGAAAGAAATGGCATACGACTATTTTGTAGGATAAGCCAGATAAGCTCAGTATACGCACATGGTAATTAGTGTATCCAATAGTCTGATTTTAGTGATCGTGCTTTGACATGCTAGTCCTATCCGAATGCTTGTTTGAGGTCATCCATCTTGGGATTGACGTATTGTTAAGGTTTAGTGGTCCTGATTCCTGGTGCAAGTAAGTTACTTTATATTAGGGTTGGTGACATGAATTCTGAAAAAAAGGGGCAGCTTGGTGCACATTGGCATCCCCGCAAGGCGATGGTCCCACCACCAGGGTGTATAAGGAGCAAGCATTCACTTATCATTTTGACAAGAGGTCACTCCCAAGACTTAAACCTGCGACCTCTCAATCACACGGCAACACCGTAATCGGTTTGCTAAAGCTCCCTATCTGACATGAAATATGGTGTCACTTAATTGTCAATTTTTTAACATAAATCCTTGCAAAAGCATGTTCTTCTCTATCCTTTCATTTCTTTTTTGTTGAATCTCCCTTGCTTGGGCATTCTATTTCAGGACACTTTGGTGGTGAATATGATTATTAACTCGAAGAGCATTTGGTTTTTATTCAAAGAGCTCCACATGAATCAGATGAAAGGGTTGACTTTTAAAGAACGATGCTTTTACTCTTTATCTGTATTTCAAAATCTTGAAACAACCTCTAAAAAAGCATCTGTCTCCTCAATACAAACCTCTTCCAACACAAACGAACCACCAAAGATCAAGAAACAGAAATTTATATCACATGAAGTGGCAATTAGATTAATAAAGCGCGAGAAGGATCCACAGCATGCACTTGAAATATTCAACATGGTATCTGATCAAAGGGGGTTTAATCACAACAATTCCACCTATGCCATTATCCTCCACAAATTTGCTTCTTGCAAAAGATTTGAGATGGTCCATGCTGTTCTTCATCAGATGTCTTACGAGACCTGCAAATTCCATGAAGGCATATTCATTAACCTCATGAAGCATTTCTCCAAGTTCTCTCTTCATGAAAAAGTACTTGAGATGTTTAATTTCATTGAACCAATCGTACGTCAAAAACCATCTCTTAAAGCCGTAAGCACATGCCTGAATCTCTTGGTGGAAGCCAACGAGATTGATATTGCAAAGGAATTTCTAATACATGCTCAAGAAAAACTGCATTTTGAGCCGAACACATGCATTTTCAACATACTGGTGAAGCATCATTGCAGAAATGCAGATCTTGAGGCAGCCTTTGAAGTGGTTAAAGAGATGAGAAAGTTAGGAGTGTCTTACCCTAACCTCATCACATACTCAACACTCCTGGACGGACTCTGCCGTTGTGGAAGATTGCAAGAGGCAATTGACTTGTTTGAAGAAATGGTCTCGAAAGATCAAATAGTGCCCGATGCTTTGACTTACAATATCCTGATAAAATGGGTTTCTCAAGGAGGGGATGTGGATAAAGGTAGGAGAATATTGGATTTCATGAGGAAAAACGGGTGCCAACCCAATGCCATTAACTATACAACCTTGATGCATGTTTATTGTGAGCAAGGAAGGTTAGAAGAGTCCGAGACACTTTTTAGTGAAATGATGGTATGTTTTGGTAATAAAGCTGATACGGTCAGTTATACGGTATTTATAAACTGCTTGTGTAAAAGTGGTAGAGTTGATGAAGCCATAAAGGTTCTAGGAAAGATGAACGAAAACAGTTGTATGTCTGATGATGTGGCTGTTAAGGTTATACTTACAGCTCTGTGCAGTGATAGAAGGCACGATGAAGCCTTATATTTACTTCAGAGGTTATCTAAGGAAGGGGTATACCTTAACAAGGAATGTTACCGAATTGTGTTAAATGTGTTGTGCCATGAAGGTGAACTGGACAAGGCTATGGAGCTGTTGGGTATGATGCTGGGGAAGGGGTTTTGGCCCCATCACGGCACTTCGAATGAATTGTTGGCCCGTTTCTGCAAAGCTGGAAAAGTTATTGATGCGGCGATATCATTGTTTGGACTGGTGAACGTGGGGTTCAAGCCGGACCCTCATACCTGGGGCCTATTAATAGACTTGAACTGCCGAGAGAGAAGGCTTTTGCCTGCATTTCAACTGCTTGATGAGTTGTGTTATCAGTAGAGAGGAATTGCACTTTTAAAACTTCTTCATTTTGAACATTTGGTATCACTTCGCTGACCTTTAAACTAGTAATTTGAGTATAAAAAATACTTTCTCCTTATATATTGTAAATACTTCTATATATTGTATTAATTGTAATTAGTAAATAGCGTACCTTATATCCTCTTCTCCTAGTTTTATGAACAGGACTTCAAATCAGTGAAATAGACAAGTAATTCAGCCTAAACCCTTCTATTTTTCCAAAATTCAATGCTCCTACGGAGACTTTTATTTCTTCACTTTTGAGCATTGTAATTATGATATGATATTTGTCTTCCAACTTTTGTTCTTACTTTTTAAGATGAAATTATGTCCACTCTTTGTTAAAACCGAATACTTGTCTAAGTTCACTCGTATGCTAAAAACAAAATACCTAGATATTCCAAATAGTAAACTTTCAGTTATTGATGTTACAACTTATTGCATACAAAAGTTTGAAGAGTAAACACATTAGCCTATTTTCCCCTGATTTTCTATATTTATTTTTAAGCATTACTACGTTATTATATGCTTATATTTATATACTCCCTCCGTCCAGGAATTATCTTCATACTTTCCTTTTCGGTCTGTCCCAAATTTATCTCCTCTTTCCCTTTTAAGCAAAGAATTTGTGGTTCACAACCATTCTTACACATTCTTACACATTTCTCTTTCCTCTGCACAACTCTACACCACACATTTCCCACTATCTTAATCTGTGTGCCATTTGTACTTCAGGAGATAAATATGGGACGGAGGGAGTATTATTAACTTAATTTATACCTGGGTTATTCTCTAAACGAGTTTCATTAGACTGATAATCTGATAGGAACTTCCAGAACAAACAGTAATATTAACCTATTATTTAATGAATTCTAAGTAAAACCTCAGAATCCAGTAAGGTAACAAGGAGAAAACCAGAGAATGAATAAGATGAACAGTATCGAGACACTGAGAGCAGTCTCCCTCTCCCAAGTATCGAGACACTTAGAGCAGTCTAATCCCAATTTTTGCCTGCCTGCCTCCTTCCCTCTTTCCCCCTTTTATAAGATTTCTATCCTTAAGAGCCGGCCCAAGCTCCTGAATTACATGGCCCAAACCCTCACTTGTACACTAACAAATTATTTGATATTATTCTATTACTATTATTAACTCTAATTAGCCCGGGTCCCTATCATAATCCTGATGTACTCCCACCATTGACTCATTGAGTAAACTTTAACCGATTGCGTTTCCTCAAGTTAGAGATTTGTGATGCTTTTGATTTTGATCTTTGGAACACATTTATCTTTCTAATTAGTGAAATATGCTTACATACAATATGATTTTCTCTGACTTTCTGTTGTTGCTTCTACTCTCTATTCATTTTTGGCAGGTAAGAAATTGGCTGAGAGCATTGTGAATGAGAAACATGCTGCATGTGTGAACCAGGCAAGTGTACTTCTGTCCTGAGGTATTAATTATTAAATACTCTGTTCCATATTTTGTGTGTGGAACAAATTATGCATCGCTTCATTGTCAGGATAAACATGGGACAGTACATAAGTTGCAGGCAAATGAAATATACTTCAGAAGCTTAGAGCGACCACTTTTAATCTTTGTTGCATATTTGCATTTTGTATATCTTATTGTCACATTTGGCAGAGACCGTCTAAAATACTCCTTCCTTCGCAAAGATAATATCCCATTTTTCTTTTCATTACCAAATGAAATAACTTTATTACGAAATGTACTTAACTTCCCCCATTCTATATTGGTTCTCATACACTATTCTTGCAGTGGGCACATGTCTCTTTTAATCTCAAATATTTATCATGCTCAAATTCAATTTTTGTAGTTCAATAGAATTTTGGTGTAGCTTATCAGTATGGAAGTTTTAATTACTAATACTAACTTAATGATTATAAGGGGATACTTCACTTCACCCTGCATCTAGTGATTGTAATCCAAAACAGGAACACTTATATAGAACTGAGGTAGTAATGTTTTACCCCTTTCTTTTAATTACACCCAACTGCCTATCATTAATTGTCTCCACTATTCAGAAAAGTATACAAGGTGTTTAGAATAAAAAGATGTCTTGCTTGAAGCTCTGTTTTAGAATGCAGACATTAAATTTTGGACTGAGTAATTAGTTCCCACTTCCTTATGTAATTTTTCGTATTGATTGGAAATGCATGTCATTAGCTATACAATTTCTTTCCACTTTAGTTGCACATATGACATATATGATAGTGAATCAGTTCATAAGCTGATTTATATTTAAACAAATTACTGTGTTGCATGTCATGGATAATGAGCAAACAACATACCAGGCCACCAGCTCCTTGCAGTACTCATTTATTTATTTATTCATTTATATGTGTAAATTTATGCATTCCCCCCTGCAGGGTCTCCACAGTTCAGCTTTTGATTTCATAAAAAAGTAAAACCGATTCTATAGCTTTGCGCGACGTCCAAGTCTCCAACATCCTGATATCTTAAACTAATCGTCTTCTTTTATCATTTGATAAGCATAACTTTGAGAACTTTCTCACGGTATAATCTTTATGCAGGCATTGAATCAGCTTATGAATGAGGACATGTATTGATACACTTTGTGAACATATATACTTCATAAGTGATTCGGAAGAGTTGCTTATCATCAAAACTAGGAAATTCCTTTTGGAAGCTCTCACCGCTCATGTCAAGGCTAACCATGAATACGAGTAAGCTTCTATAGTTCTCTTACCCTTTATCTCTATACTGCGCATCAGTTTGGATCCCATTATGGCCTGAAGTAGATGAATGTGTAGTTTGAAAGTCTGGAGTTTGATGGTGATTATTATCCTTTGTGCTTGTTTATGCAGTGTTCCTGAAATGATGGCTCCGTCCATAGACCATAGTTGGTGGTAACCCCCATGCCCCAACCTGGAGTGGTTAAGATTTAAGAACAGTACTAGGGAGAACTGGAGAAGTGATTATTTAACTTCTGTCATTGAGCAACATATTGAACCAACTCCAATACAGTGGCTGCAATTTTCTTATGCAGTACTTTGATCTCATTATTCCAATATCTCATAATGTTATACAAGGAATTTTGCTCGGTTTGAAGATTACATAAATTGGATATATGTAATTTCTTTTGCTACATTTCGCAAAGTGAGGTAATATTTGAAGGTTAATATCTATATTGGACTACTTGTTACTTGGAATTATTTCAGTTTTTAATGAGACCAAATCATATTTAAACTGGTCAAATCAGAGTATAAGACTACGTACTCACATTATTTGCTTTGTCTAAAGTGAGTACATTTTTGACTGTTAAATGTTTTGACTAATGAGTTTTTACCGCTTTTAATCATGTGACTATTATGTTAGTGCCACCTTGGGTACTCAATTTTGAAATTTTCAATTTCAATCCTCAGATTATTGTGACATCGACACCTTTACTAATTTGCGTAATTAGCCTTTCAACTTATATTAAAGTACTAGCTCCGTTTTCCTATCATTGTCCTATTTTACCTTTTTAGTCTATTCCAATAAATTTGTCTTGTATCATACTCTGTATTTGATAATATTTTAATGGTTGTAATTCATTCTTATTTTATTAAAAATTTCATATTTTAAAATTTTAAAATAAGAGAAATTTAACAATAATTTTCAAAAAATAATCTATAATACATTAATAAATAAAATGTAGTTAAAGTAAAGTATGTGAATAATGTAAAATTCATCAATGTTACAAACTTGCAATTAAAAAAGAATGGATGTAGTACTATGGAGTATGTACTCCATATCAAATAACATTTTTGAATATATAACCAAATTGCTTATGTGGAGTGCGCACATCTATATGGATGATTGATGTCTTTCCTACATTTTCTCTTTTTTCTTTTATCTTCTTTATCCTTTTATATTGTTATGTTATTTTTATCTTCTGACTTTTTTATGCTCTTTTATCTTTCTATCTTTTATCTTTTTTATATTCTTATGTTATTGTTATCTTATATTAACTCCGTCAATATGTGAGAAATAAGAATAGTTAAAACTGTGTGGTTGAGATTTGTGTAGAGGAGAGACAGAAATGTGCAGAATCACAAATTAGTTGTTTTAATAGGAAAGTGACAAAGTTATGTTGGGAGAACCAAAGAGGGAAAATTGGCAAAGTCCAACGGACGGAGGAAGTATTTATTTATCTTTATTTTATCTGTTTTATCTTACTCCCCCGTCTGTGTTTCTGTTTGACATCGATATCATTGATCAATTCATGTTAGTCGATCCCAAATTCTTTTGGGATTAAGACTTGGATGTTGTTGTTTGTTGTAACAAAATTGCTTACCAAGTATTATAATTAATTAATCACTGTGAAGAATAATTATTGGTTTTTTTTACATAAATAGTACTAAAATAACACTCATTTATAAAAATATGATTACTAGTTACTACAATGTAGTATTATGTGTCATTGTAACTTAAGTTTAAAAATTGAACATAAGTTACTATGATTGTATTACTACTTTAATCACAAGTCACATTTTTGTAAACTATTTTTATTTTAGTCATAAATATGTAATTATATCTTTTCTTAGAAGTCCCATGGTTTCATGCTCCACTTTTTTTCAATTTCCATTACATGTTTGAAGCATTCAGTCATTCACATGAAAGATATAAAAATTAGAAACTTTGGTCGAGTGCTAGTTTGACCGAAACAAAAACCATCGAGCCGAAGATCTCTTCTTGCCCTTAGGTTTGGACTTTTAGGGTATGTTTGAGAGTTTGGAGAGAAGAGGAGGAGAAGACTTTGGAGGTATGTTGTTGGAGGGGAAAGGGAGGAGAGGATGAGGAAGCCTTCTTTGTATTTTGGAGTAATAAAATTGGAAATAGAAGGTTTTTGAAGGAATTATAATTAAAATCACTTTGAGATATGATAAATTCAAATCATTGAGCTGATATTCATTTCTAATTTAGCTTAAATTACCATCTTGTTAATTATCCTCCAAAAACCTCCAAATTGGTGGAACTTAAAACTTAAGCATTTGGAGGATTTTTAAGGGTTACAAAAGCCCTTCAAAACCACCCCTCCAATTCTTTAAACTCCCAAACATGAAAATGAGGGTCATAAACCCCCATTAACTTTCCCCTCCCCTCCAAAACCCAACTCCCATACACACCCTTAGGAGTTGTCATACTCCATCTCTCACATTATTAGCTCTATTGACTCTCATGCAAATTAGGATGTTTTTACTTGGACCGTTTCAGTTTTAGACCAGATTTGACTTAAACAGATCAGATCAGATCAGACTTAAACAGACCAGATTAGACTTAAACGGACCAGACTTGACTTGACTTCCGTAATTATAAAATACATAGAGACAGGACGTTTACTAGACCATACTAGACCAGCAAATTACAATCCAATTAAAAAACATCCTTAGTAGACTAATAGTGTGAATCAAGGGATCAGATAAAATTAGAATCCAGCAGTTACAATAATTTATTATATTTTTTAATTATTTCTAAAACTTGTTCATCTCAAATTGCTATATAAACATCAAATTAAACTCCAAACTTTTCAAAGAAAAGGTGGCGGCAGAGCCATTTTAATGTTATGTTTTTAGAGGAAAATAATTAAAATACCTCAAACTTTGAAGGAGTGTGAGATAAACACCCTGAACTTTCATATGTAATTTAAATACCCCAAACTTTATATAAAATTTTATTTTAACATCATAGTTATGTATGATTTCTTTCAAAAATGTAAATTTATGGTGTTAAATTCATATTTTAACATCATGGTTATTTTAACATTAGAATTATATATAGTGGTGGCCGGGTAATACTATTTATTTTAGAATGGAAGCTTAGAATTTTAATTGTATCTTTATGAATGCTAAAAATTATCAAATTATGAAATAAACACCAAATATTAATATTTTTGAAAGAAATAATACATGACCGTGGTGCTAAAATAACTTTTTATATAAAGTTTGGGGTATTTAAATTACATATGCAAGTTTAGGATGTTTATCGTACACCCCTTCAAAGTTTGGGATATTTAATTATTTTTCCCTTTTTTTAACCCCAAGGCAATCACAGGGAGGGATGGGGCTGGGGGGTTTGGAGTAAACTAGATCAAACTCACTATATTGAGTATTAAACTTGGGACCTCCCATAAGAGAGAAAGAGTCGATGACCAGCTGAGTTGGATCGCTTCCTCTTTTATGTTATGTTGTTATTAATCTACTCGCGCGACTTCCACTTCTCCATGGATCTAACAATCAAGTGCACATATGTTCTTTTGTTGTTCCTTGATTTTTATACGTTAGAGAAATGTTTTAAAAGGTTGAATCACTGACCCAATAATCCATTTGGCAGGTTGTAAATTGTAATTCACATGACTCAATCAATTCAATGATGGTAGATCATATCTGTGCGCAATAAAAGTAGACAACGAAAGACAACGATATGAGATTAGGACCCACTCGGCCACTCTATTGTTGTTGACTAGGATATTACAAAAATGTCGTTTTTACTTAAGGGCTTTAAGGGCTTATTACAATACATTTTGTGAAATTGGCTTTTTGAGGAGTTTAAGGGCTTTTTGAAATCGGCTACTCATTTTGTGGGGTTGTATTGAAAAGGTTGGGGCTGACTCGATCAATTGTTGTTCGCCACAAAGCCCTACTAAAATTCCATATTAGGATATGTTTGACATAATAAACCGAAAAGATATTTTATAAGTTTTTAGTAATCGATATTTTTTAATTATTGAAAAGATCTTAAAAGTAAAAGGTAGCAATTGCTTGATAAAAAGTGATTTAGTTATGTTTAGCATACAAGTTGTTGACATTAATTAATGCTAAAAGTTACAGACTTTTCTCAGTTGCTACTCACTATAACATCTCAAAGAAGATCTTTTATTTTTAAGAAAACTCTTAAAACTTGTCATGCCTAACAGTCAGTCAACTAGAAGATAAAAACTTTTCAGAGACTTTATAAACAGTACAAAAGTTAGAAAATAAGACTTATACCCTAACAATATTTATTATGCATTGCCTTTTTATTGTAGTTACTATTACTCTGAAGAATTTAACTAGGAAAATTGCCCTAAATAAAAATAGTTTTTGGAATTTCATAATGAGAATGCTATGTTATTCTTTTCAAAATAGAAATCATTAATGCCATAATTTGAAAAATATTGTCATGAAAATATTATCATAAATGTTGCATGTTACTCCAATTTCTAAAAGAAAAACATAAGGATCATATTTAAAAATTCCAAAACATGTTTAGTCCTACTTCAGCAACTCTCCCATTTAACTGATCCATCTATCCCTATCATACTGGACTTTGTCAACTTTCATTTTTGTTTGTTTCCAAAATTTTGTCACTTTTTATAGAGCAATGGCCTTGTTTTTCTATTCCTTTCTCTATTTTATTCACAAATTTCAACCACAAAATTTTTAATATTATTATAAAAAATAATTTATATTAGTACGTATTACAATACGTACGTTACGTTCTTTCAGAAACACTACTCCATATTACGTAGTACTATACGTTACACAAGTGAGAGAGGGGTCCATTTTGCGGATTTTGTGATACTTTTTCTAGTGGCGCGTATGGAAACTGGTGGGCCCTACTTTGTTGTTGACTTGAAAATCCTGCGATTATAGTTTCAAAATTATGTTTTACCCGTAATTTTTTTGTGTTAATTAGGGAGTGTTTGGAACTGATTCTGATTCTGCTTCTTTTTTAAAGCAGAAGCAGAATCATAATCAGTTTTCAGAAGCTGGTCACCCCCAGCTTCTAAAAAAACTGATTCTAGAAGTAAATTAGAACACCAGAATCACTTCTGCACTTTTACCCAAACACTCCAACTTCTGCTTCTGCTCCCTGAAGAAGCAGAAGCAGTTTTAAGAATCAAATTCAAACACCCCCTTAATCAAATCCAAACAATCCAAACTCCAACTTTTTTACTTATTCCACAAATTTCGTCATTTCTACTTTTAGAAGAAAAAAATAAAGTAGAAGGATTATTTTAACTATTTGAGAAGGGAATTTTTTCCCGGCCCAAGACTAAAAAAAACTAGAGAAAAAAGAATCATAGTTTTCTAGAAATTAGTATTTAAGATCTAAAGCTTAATTTATCTTTATTAGATAACTAGTATTCAACTTTTAAAATATCAAACATACTAATACTAAATACCATACACACTAGTTAAATAATTTTCAGAGAATGTGAAGTGAATCTAAAATATAAATATTTGTGCGACATTAACATTAAACTCCT